AGTGTGTTCCCATATTGCCTGTAGATCAGTCTCTATCCTTTTGTCTTGTCTACGTAAGCACAACAGCTCTGATTAGTTATCACACAAACCCATCCCTCTTTGGCTGTTAGGAGATCCAACGCCATTCTATTTTGTAATACAACCTAACTGAGCATTGAAATCTCAACTTGTAATGCGTTGGTTGCATCCACGTGAGCGTTCTCTATATTATCTCTAGAGTGGCTGAAATATGAACCATCGCTTTCTCCAGCTCACTTGCTCCAAGAGTTGGGATGAGCCATCTCACAAAGCTGTGGAAACCGGTAGGTTTTTCCACCAAGGGATTTAGTACTCTTCTCACCCGTCTCCAGGGGGTTCTCAAGAGTCCCCGTGGTATTTCCTCATGCACCGTGGTCTGAGGTACCATGTATCCTGCAGTGCATGTTCCCATCCAATTTGGAGGCAGTGCCTTTCGTGCCTGCCCATCCCCACATAACCACCAGCATCCGTAAGGTAAGCTGCATGGATTAGACCTACCCTCTTGTTGGGTAAAAGATGTTCCCATTCCCACAGTCCCAAGTACATTCTTATCTATAGGCCATGATGAATTTTCACTTGCTCTAGAATCACGCCCTATGCCCTGCTTCCACCTTGTAGTCTTGTTGAGTCCTGATACTGTCCCTGAATTCCCATATTCCCAACTGCATCCTATACCTGTTAAATTTACCACCCAACTTTCACACTAATTTCGCTATCATTTTCCCTATCCACAAAGATAGACTTAGAAGAACTAATAATCAACAGATCGAACCTCGGGCCCTTTTGTAATTAATCCTCCATTCCATACTTACATTCCCCATGTTCCACCCAATTTTGAATTGTCCAATTAAACGCTTCTAACCCGTAGACTGGCACCCCCCTCCTCTGGGGAGGACCATTCACATCCAACAATTTGTTAGGTTAAAATTTTGGGCTACTGCCCAAGTAACATTTAGGTAGCTATTATCTTCCCAGGCTAAAGCAAATCTTATAAGGTTAATTACAACGCATAGTTTATACATTTTTCTTAATTGTAAGTCGGAGGGTCCTTTCTCCCTCACAGTCCATTGCGGTCGGACAGTCTTCTTCAGGCAGGTGTGGTGTATCCATGGTATCAGTCCTTCCACCTGGGCTGCCCTGTGCGTGGTTAGGAGTACTTCATAAGGTCCTTCCCACCTTGGTTCTAGAGGAGAATCTGAGAGGGATTGGACATGCACATAATCTCCAGGCAATACGTTATGTACCGGACCATCCAGGCCTCGTGCCCTGCTATTAAACACCACCTGCTCAATATCCTTTAATTGCTTTCACAACTTAATTACATATCTGCTCAAAAGTTCCTCCCCTGTTTGTGCAGAAGTTCCTTTTTGTACCGGGTGAGGTCTCCCATAAAGGATCTCAAATGGACTTAGTCCTTCTTTGGTTCAGGTTTTGTTTGAATCCTTAATAAAGCCAAAGGCAGCGCTTGGGGCCAGGGTGTTCGTGCCTCCTGGCCAAGCTTCACCATCTGTAATTTTAACAAATGATTCATTTTCTCTGCTTGTCCGCTTGACTGAGGTCGATAAGGTGTATGTAATTGCCAGTCAACCCCCAGTAATGGCTCACATGTTGTACTATTCTGGCCACAAGGTAAGGGCCTCGGTCCAGGAATTCTGAGGAGGTTTCTTTTGGACCCTGCCTTATAGCATATAAGGCAGACCAATTGGTTGCTTTAGGAATAGCCCTTTCCATTCCTTTTACCACCCATCCTCAGTAGGCTTCTAAGAGATCTCGTTCTGCTCCTCTACCTGGGTCCCAATGAAGGTCCTGAAGATGGAAATGATCTTTTATGTCCGCGTTTCCACCCCGCAAATTATCCTCAGCCAGATTCTGGGCTGTTCTCAAAATTAGACACTTCTCCATCTCCGTCATGGAGTCTGGTAACAACTGGATATCACTCCAGTCGGGATTGTGCTGCCTAATCAAATACTGAAAATGCTGTGTTACTCCCACCGGGTCACTTGGAATTCCTTAGCCACCTGTTTCCAGGTTTCCAGATCAAAAGAAGGGATGGGACCTTTATTAAGACACGTGTCCCATCCGGACCCACCGCCTCCCTCAGGGGGGCTAAAAGAACACTTTGTTGCCTCCTAGTTCTAGTGGCTATAGGGGAGTCCGGGAGGGTTCTGGGGGAAGAGTCTTCCCTTTTGGAGTGCTCCCTTTGTCCAGTGGTAGGACTCCCTGCCCTGGTGCCTGATGATGGTCCAGTAAATGAGCAGAAGTCTTAACTTCAGTTAGTCTAGTACACTGCTGTCCTACACTGCATGCGGAGCAACAGCGTTTTATCCCTCCTCTTCCTGCTGCCCGCCGATCCTTTTCTAATGCTGACACTAGAGGATCTCGTGGTGCCCCCATCCCACATTCTTTTTGCCACTCAGGATGATTCCTGAGGGTAAAGAACATATCAGCGTATGCTGCCTCATCCCATTTACCTTAAAAATAGCATCAGTTGCAGAATAGTATTGTACTTCAGTGTCCCATTCAGGGGCCACTTTTCCCCATCATCCAATTTATACAATAACCACCATTGAATACAATATTTTATCAGTTTTCTTGCTTAGAGTGCCCCCAGGACCCCCTGCAGTATTTCACCAGTGTACCAGAGCACATCCAAGGGATGTTCTTGTAGGTATTTCCTTTCCCTGTGAGCCTCCCATAATGTTGTCTCACTGGTTCGTTGTTGCCCTAAGGTTTCCACAAGTAACTCTTCATACTCTAAAATTTCCCCACTCTAAAATTTCTGGACACAAACGACACCACCAACCCCAATATATTTCTTCACACACTGGATGGCATATAATATAAATGGGGCAACACTCATTTTCCAGGTGGAATGCACACCTTTCCTCAGGCCCCTCTTCCCAATTAATAAACTCCCATCACTATCCTAATCTATAAGCTTCATACAAACACAAAAACACATTTGGACGGACAGATGACACAAAGAACAACTTGTTGCTTTGTCCATCCCCGGCCGTTTCCCTGGTGGGAGCACGGAACCACAGCTCAGGACTCCTCTTTCACTCCGTGTCTCAGCCACATCTCACACCACATGCACGCAGTGCCAGCTGAATCAATCCTGCACGTGCGCCGTGGGCAGTGGGGTCTCCTTCTGGTCAGGGGATGAAGGCTCACTGTCTTCAACAGAAGTAATCCCATCCTGACCCATTCCTTGTGTAATGTTTCTTCAAGTTTACAGTTGAGTTTCGTGATGTTCTTTTCTTATTTGGCCTCACATCCTGCTTACCTGCATTCCTATACCATAGTTAACCTCCTATAACGTAGTTAACCCTTATCTTGTCCTCTCCTTACTCACATTCCTATACAGTGCTTAACCCATATCTTGTCCTGTCCTTACTCACATTCCTATACAGTGCTTAACCCTCAGTTTGTCCTCTCCTAACTCAACACATGCTTTCCTTTTGTCTCTGGGCTTTCATAGGCACAAAATTCTTGCAGAAAACACACGAGAATACAACAAAAAAAGATTTGTTTTTTAATGCTTTTTGCTCAGTGCGGAGCCTTAAGTTTCCCACTTTAAAACAGCAGGAATATTCCAAACGTGGTCAGAAAACACATTTTTGACAGAGGCAAGAGAGAACCCATTAGGGTGACTCTGAGCATGCAGCCAGGAACATAGTGGGGTTATTTTGGAAGCTGGTTGAGTGGCAACTCTTTCTGACCAGACTGGGCTCTGCTGTTTTTTTCATTCCTTGTCTTTGCATTTTGCCTGAAGATCTGTAGGATGTTGAGGCAGTTCTGCCTGCTGGGCAGAATAAAAGTCTCTCTGAGTTCTCTCTAACACTTGTGCATCATTTTAGGGAATATTTTTAGAGCTGAATATTTGGAAATACACATCTGAAAGCAAATAGCTGTGCCGTGATACTGCTTACAGCAAGCATGGCATGTGCCAGGCGTTGAGTTCCAGCAATACAAGCGTGCTGCCTGAAATGGAGCAAAGGAGGCAGGGCTGAAATCAAGATGTCACGGAGGATGCTGGGATGCTGAGATCTTGCCTCCCATTGTCTCCAGTTGCAGACTTCCACGTATGGATTGGACCATTCCCTGTTTGGCCACTTGTAAATGGCTTCTTGTGTGCTCCAACAAAACATGTTCCACACCTCCGCAGCCCACACATACTGAAGCATCTTCCTTCCTTTGGGTGAAATGCTCTCCTGGCCATGGATGCTGCTTGATAGCAGAGAATCAAAAGATTCCCAGTGAAATTTCCTGTTGGACCAACCTGACCTAATGGTGGGGGCTTCTGCAAAGCCCTCACAAGTACTGTTTCTCCCCAGAGGTGCCTGTCAGCAAGACACGAGGGGGAAATCCACCCCACATGGTGCACTCCTTCCCTCCTTCTCACATGCTGTCACCCAGGCTGCAGGGAGGGGAACTCCACACCACTGCTGCTGCCGTGGCAGCTCAGACCCTCTGCGTTTTGCAGGATGTGAGCTGTGTGTCTGTTGGCAGCGTATTCTCATGAAAGAGAAACACTCTGTCTGGTGGTATTCTCTCTTTGCAGAGGGATGCCATCACCCATTTGTGGGCACGGTGTGTGTGTGCAGGGGATGGGTTTGTACATAGAAGTTACTTTTCACTTGTATGGCCCAGTGGTATGTATGTTGTTCACGCTGTGATTTTTTAACCTGGCCACAGTGTAGCAGCAGTTCGGCCCTCCAAGAAGCCTTACCCGATTTCAGATTTTACCTGCTAGCAGTGTTGTTGAAGTGAGAGGAGGCTGAATGCCCAGGCTGCCACATCTGCACGTTTGGCAGAAGCTGAAGAGGACTCACTTTGGGCACCATTTCCTCCCCACCCCTGACCAGCAGCACACCTCGGTCACCCTCTGTCCCCATGTCCCCCCAGTCGGCTCCTGGCCCCATGTGCACCGTGGGTACGCTGCTCCTGTATTGATATCATTTTGTGTTCTCTCCCTTTAGATTAGAGTGTGTAACGGTCTCGTTACGCTAATTGCCGCAGGTAAGAGCCGTGCTTCCCGCAGGCCATGCGTCGCGCTCCATCGCTAACGCTCTCCTCCTTCTCTTCCACCTCCTCCTCCTCCTCCTGGTGCTCTGCCCTTGGGTTTGGGCTTTGTCTCTGCCTCTCACTAAGGCTGGGCTGCACATCTCACCTGGCTCCTCCTGCTTTGAGACCCCCCTGCTTGCTTGAGTTGTGAATTTGGAAGGGCTCAAGCCCTCCGGTGACCCACCTGCGAGCCAAAAGGAAATCCATTTTAGCTAACAGCCAGCAAAGCTGCTTGTTGCTTCTTACAACTCCTAATTCCATACTGCCTGTGTACCCTCTGGAGCAAGCACAGCCTCAGAAGGGCCAAAAAATAAAAGGGTGAATCCTCCAAAAAGGCCCTTAGCAGCACCTCGCCCTCCAAACAAACTTGCAGGCTTCCCCTGCGAGGAGGCGAAGCAATTAGAGTTTGTGCCAGACGGCTTGCAAGTGGAATTATAATATTTGTATGGAAGCCTTTATCTTTTGTGGCTAACTCTCGCTCACTCTGCAGCTGCTGTCTCCCTATCAATCACAGCCAGGGGCCGCACGCGCAGCTCAGGACTCGCTGGGGGAAGGCTGGGACTGCAGGAATGTGCGGGGCTGCGGGGCTGCAGGATGGACGTGGGGCTGTGGGATGTGGGGACGGGAGCTCCTGACCCACATCCTGCCTGCAGCCTTTCACTCACAGCGAGGCATTGTGGGGAGCGTGCATGAATATTGCTGCAGCTCGTCCTTTTGGGGGAAACTGTATTATTTTGACCATCTGCCATGCCGCTTGACTGCAGGAATGTAAAGTGTGACACCTCCCTCGCACCCCCTCCTCCCCGCGCTGTGAACAACACCGCAGGTTTTCTTTTGAATCCTGAACTGACAGCTCCACATTTTTCACAGAGAATGCCTTTGCACATTAAGTCATGTTTTTCACCTTTTTTTTTTTCCTTTTTAATGCGGTATTTCCCTTTCAGTCAGTTGTCTTGAAATATAAATCTGGGACTGAAAGGTTCCATTTGAAATGCCGACGCCAGGTTGTAAACCAGCTATGGGATTTCAAAGGAGCAGAGTGGGCTTTGGACCTCAGCATTGCAGGGTTCAGTGCCTATTTGCCAAAATACCCACAGTTACACAGAGCAGGGCCCCAAGATTTAATCCTTTTAGTAAGGAAGCAAAATGAGGCTCAGCCTGTGCTGGACAAACATTGTTGAATTTCCAAGCTCTGAGCAGTCCCAAGATTCATGCAGGTTGTCCCACTGTACTGGGGACAACACAGCCAGAAAGCCTGGCTGGGAGCAGGCAGCCAGGAGGCACAGCCCACTGCTGAGCTGGAAGTAGGTTTGTGCCGCAGCACACGGCCATCGGAGCGCAGAGGTGCTCGGCTGCAGCCATTAGGTTGGGCTCCGAGCACTGCTCCAGGCTTGCAAGCACCGGGGCACAGCACTGTACCTCCCCCTCCAGGAAAAAAACACACAGAGACTTAGTTACAACAAGATTTAAAAATACTGCAGCCCAGGGGAGCTAATGAAATAACACTGACACCGAGAAACGCCTTGGGATGGGTGGAAACCCCAGCAGCAAGAGCAGTGCTGTGTTGCAGCATGCGTCGGTATTCCCCGAGTGCGTCTGCACCACAGCCAGGCAGGAGCTGCACACACTCCAGCTTTATTCACTGTCCTACAGTTAATAGCTGTCCCCTCAGCTGTTCTCATTCAGACAAGCCATTAGCCCCGACCTGCAGCCATAACCGCCTCTGGGGAGGTGCTGGAGAAGGAAGCCCGTGAGCACGGTTCCTGATGGGGGTCCACTTGCAGTAGTCAGAAAGACCCGAGGTTCTGTATCTGCAGAGCGGCTGTTGGGATGCGGACACGCACTGCTTGTCCCTGTCCTCAGCCCGCCTTCCCCTGCCCGCTGTCTCTTCCAGGCTGCCTCACCGCCAGCACCAGCGCCGACCTCGCCGTCCCCGCAGGAGCAGAGCCAGCAGAGCTGACCTCAGCGCCGCGCAGCGCCGGCACCAAAGCCTGCGGGAGGCTCCGCCGCTCCGCCAGCGCGCTCAGCAAGGCTCCCAGCTGACACCCTGCACCCTCCAGGGAACCCCTCGCCACGCACCAGGCTCTGCTCCTCGCCTGAAGGACCCCCCGCTCGGGATGGGCGCTTGTTGGAGGGGATGGGCAGCAAGCACTTTTCCCCCCACCTCATCGCACGAGGGCACGGAGCAGCGCTGATGCCCGTTGCCTCACGTCGTCTCAGAGCACTGATTTCAGTCATTCCGTCCAACGAAGTGTGGACCGGGGAGTTGTGACAAAGCAGAACTGAGCTTTGTAATGATGAGGCACGTGCCGAATGTCCTCCTCCAGAGCATGGGCGAGTGATGGGGTGCTGCTCAGCATCTGTTCCACCTCTGCTCCCGTCCTGTTTTCAGCAGCCATCCGTGGCAGTTGTTGTGCACGGAGCAAAGAATTAGTGATAATCAGAGAGGCCCATTTATCTGAAATTCAGGAGGCTGCTGCCAATTTCATAGAATGGCGGCACCTGCTCTGAAATCGCTCCGTTTACCCGTGCTATCTTGTTCAGGGTCATCCATCACCACCTATTGTGGAGCATCCGTCCCCACACTGAGGATGCTGTGGCAGTGCACGAGCTGGGCTGCTCTCCGTGCTGCTGCCCCAGTGCAGTGTGAGCCGTCCCCTGGCTCCACATGTGGTTTGGAAAGGAGTCCTCTTCCTCAGCCTTGCCCCCAGGGCTGCTTCATCCTCCACAGTAACGCTTGCAGTGGCTGTGCAGTGTGAACTGCTGTCCACATGTGGAGAAACACCCAGCCACGTTTCTTTCAGAAGATGAAATGCTGCACATCTGCCTGACTGCTTCTCACCGGGGTGTGACTCACTGCGGGACGGCGCGCTCCCCACGTCACCACTTTGCCTTTTCACAACACTGGGGCAATAATCTGCAAGGGGAAGCATCTCTGATGAGCTAGAATACAAACCCATCTGAAGGCTCCCAGGGAAATGTAACGTCCTGATGGCACTTTGTGTAGTAAGCAGATCTTTTGGACGGGAAATGTACTTCACTCTGCACATGTCACAGGTTTCCAGGGTGAAAACCCACAGCTCCTGCTCTAGCCTCGGGTTTTGGATGTTGTGGACACTGGTGTGTCTGCCCAGTTCCTGGGTGTTGCATCAGATACCTCCGGCCTTCCTCGTCCTCCTCAGGTCTCACTCCCGTTGCTTTTTTGTTCAACTGTTGTTCAATTTTTGTGTTTTTGGGGTGTTGTTTTTCTTTTTGAAACGCCACTTAGCCTTGAAGCGCACACCTCTGAACTCCATGTGATGTATCGAAGTGATGGGAACTGAAGCAAAACACCCCGCTGTGCCGTCTGCTTTTGCACTTCCTACACATTCACACGAAGGACTGCTGCCGTGCCACCACTCCATGCTGCTGCCGGCTGGATGCAGACAAGCACTCCTGGCACTGATGGTGGCAGCCCTGCCATGGGGCTCCACGCAGCAGTCAGCTGACGAGGCGCACGGCTGGGGTTGGGGTGAGCGCAGCGCTGCTGCAGCACGGAGCTCCGCGTGCCGAGCGCTTGGAGTGCCGCTCCGCCTGCCTGCCTCACCCTTTGCTTTTGTTCCCTACCGATCGGGGGGGGGGAAGTTGGAAAATAAAACGTGTATTTTAATTTATTTCGTTTTTCGCAGCGGAACACGCGAGGCTGTCTTGTTCTTTAGTTACCAAGTGGTCTGAAATCATTTCAAAGGCGTTCTGAGTAAAATGAGCCGTTTCTCTTTGGAGCAATACTCATCCCTCTTTCAGGGGAGGATTAATAATATTTTCCCGATGTCAAAACAACATCGACTTGTGAAAATTCAGCATTGGTTGCATACTGTGCAGTCAGACACGGAGCTGCTCCGTTCCCCCTGGTGCCTTGAGCAGAGTGAAGCCACACCGTGATGGTGCACTGTGATGCTGGAGCTGCCATCCCAGCCAGGGCAACTGGGGGAGAGCGGGGAGGGCTCTGCTGGGCTGAGACCTGCAGAGCTGCTACTGAACGTCACTTCTGTACGGCTTAGGGACAGCTAACTCAGAGGATTCTCTTCTAGTGAATAAAAATTGATCACAGAAATGTGTTTGTCTGTTTCTGTCACCACCTAAAGGAGAGGTTTTGTTTCTCATAGGATCACAGAATGGTCGGAAGGGAGCTCGGCATCAGTGACAGCACCATCGCTGGCTTCTTCGGAAGGGGCTTGGAAGCTCTCACTAATAGTAATTACAGAGCATTACCAAGCCCCAGAAGACATTACTTCTATAGCATTCATTGCAGGAGATGCGTGATGACAAGGCTGCCCTTCCTAAACCGTGTAATGCCTCATTGCTGGGAATTTGCATGGGCATTAGAAACAAAACCTTTCTAGCGGCGATTTCCTGCTCTGCGGAGACATCGCTTAAGAAAATGAAGGGGGTTTGTGTGCTCAGTCATAATTATGTCAGGGGTGCTTAGGCATTAACACCCGCTTATGCCAGTGGGAATGATACGGGATTATTTGGCAGTGGGAAAAGCTGCTTTGAGATCTCTCTCTCTTTTTCTGAAGTTCTCACTTCAATCCCCGTTTGCACACCTTGCCGTGTCCATCAGCTGGGCAGGGGGAGCACGGCATCACCCCGCTGCTGCACCCAGCGTCAAGCTGCCACCGCCGGCAGGGACAGCCTATGGGATGTCACAGAGCACATCAGCTGTGTCACGATATGCATCAGTTACACACGAAAATATCATTAATGGTATATGCATGCTGTATAATATTGAGTGCACCATGTAACAGGATATGTGATAAGCAACCTGACCTAAGGGGTGGCAACCATGGCCACAGCAGGGGTTGGAACCCCGAGTCCTGATCCTAAACCTCACCCATAACCCTAACCCTAACCCAGACCTACGCTGCAACACCCGGTCCCAAGCTGTGACACTCAGTCTCATGCCGTGATGCCTGCTCCCACATCACAACTCCCCGTGCACAGAGCCATGCATTGCCCAGCACTGCAGGATGCTGGCACACCAGCAGCAATGTCCGACAGCCCCGCAGCTGCTTTTCCACTCATTTAGAATCAGCGACAGCTTTTCAGCAGGTTGATGGGAAAGAAAGGAAATCCGAAGGCAAAGTTCTGTGGGCCCATTTCTGGATGATTTCCTGCTTCCCGCCTCCCTCCTTTCAGCAACCACTGTGCCCGGTGCTGCTCCCAGTGAGCCCTCCCAGCCGATGGCTGCGGGAACGGCTGCTGGTCCCAGCCCTGCTAAAAGAAACGCTGAGCAGCGGCACAGCAGAGAATCTCAGCTGTTCCCCCACCAGCCGCCTGTGCTGATGGCACTGCAGGGAGAACTGCGCAGCGCATCGCCCGGCGATGGTGTCGGAGCTGCATTTCTCAGCACCCTGAAGGTTCCCGTAATTAACCTCCCCGCTTCTTTTCAGTTTGCAAACAGTCCATTTCAGACCATGTGTTCAGCTCTTTGTGCGCTCCGACGGGGGCCAGATCCAGCATTCTGCAAAACAGGCCAACAGATCGGGCCGTGCATGCAGCACAGCCTCCGTACCTGCGCTCCCACTGCCTCAGAAATGGGAAATTGCCTTTCAGGTGGGATCAGCATTTTCTCATGCGCCCAAACCTGTTCTCTCCAGCTGAGCTGGGAGCCCTCAGCAGATTGATTTGTTAGCTGACAGGAGGCTTTGTTTGCACAGCGCCGGCCGCTCCTGGCTGCCGGGTGGTGAAGAGATGGCACCGGGAAGGAAACACCTGGTGCTCCCCGGGGCTGCGGGGCCACTTCGCGTGGGGCTCACAAGGGGTGAACCCCGGTTTTGGGGGGGATCTGTGGCAGAAACTCGCTTCCCCAAACCCTAAAATTGCCCCGCTCCGTGCTGCTCCCCAAGCACCAGCCCCTACCATCACATCCCCCTGCATCCAGCACAGCAGCTGAGCTTTACCCCGACGTTTCCCTACCAACCACGGCAGTTGATCCGATTTTATCTCACTCTTGGCTATTGGGAAGCCAGCAGCAATACGAAGCAGCTATTTTGGTTGGATGGTGGCACAGGATGGGATGCTGCCCCAAGATGGGTGGCCTTTCAGGCCTCACCGATGGGCCTCAGTGCCCAGCAGAGTTTCAGCACAGGCTCAGCTCCTTCTCTTTGAGGAGCTCCAGGATCGTAGCTGCCCAAGGGAAGCAGCACACAGCAGGCAGCCCCAGAGCAAAGCAAAACTCACCAGCCCCATCCTGCCGCCCGCATTTTGGGTGCTGCCGGGCCACGTTCTCTTCTGCAGATCATCAGCTATGACAGCTTCGCCCAGACCTGACGTCAGCCCCGGCAGGACGAGCTCGGTTTCCTAGGAAGCACAGCACAGCAGCCCGCTGCTTTCATGCTTTTTGGCACTTTTTAGCCCAACCTTACAAGGAAACCCAAACCAAAAAGCAGCGACGGCTACTCTCTTTTTCTCCCGCACAGCTGCTGCACACACACTCCACTCTCCTCAACAGCCACAGCAAAGCTCAGTGAGGGCACCCCCTGCCCCACACCGTAGGACACAACGGCCTCAGGCACCTCCAAGCCGAGCAGCCCCACGCTCCTTCCTTCTCCCACCCTCCATCACTCCATAACGAAGGCAGCCGAGCGCGCAGCGGGCAGGCAGAAGGCAGGCGTGAATTGGAAAATACTTTTATTTGAATAGTAAATAATTATACAGTCGAAACAGTCCTATCGAAGCACTCTATAAATAGCTAACAGGTACGAAAATAATGTGTGTAGAAAAAGAGATTGCATCTAGGAGTGAGAGCTGTCGGCAGCGCGGGCGGACGGGTTAAGGTCACGTGGTTTATTTCCAGGTATAAAAGTTAAAACCTTTATAGAAAAAAAGAAAAAAGAAAAAAAAAAAAAAGAGATCACAGTGAGATGGTGGGGCCGGGGGACGTGGGGAGGGAATAAAAAAGCGCGTTAGAGCATCTGCGATCAAATAATATCCATCTTCATCATTAATATAAATAAATAAGGAATAAATAATAACGCGAGGACTCGACCCAACACATACAGACGGCGCGGCGCGGGCACGGCACGACTTAAGGCAGTTCTACGCGTCCCGGAGCGGAGCGAAGGCGCCGGCGCTGCGCCGACCGAAGCCTCGCCTCTCCTTCGTCCTCGAGCGCAACCCGAGCGGCCGGGGAGGGACGGGGGCGACGCGGGGCGCAGTCCGCGGCTCAGCAGTGCGGCCGCAGCGGCACCTGCAGCAGCACCACCTGCCTGTTCTCGGACGGGTGGCACTTGTTGATGTGCCGCGTGAGGCCGGGCGAGCTGTAGAAGGTGGCGGGGCAGTACTTGCAGGGGAAGAGCTGCGCGGCGTGCAGCAGCCGCAGGTGCCGCTCCTGGCTGCTCTTGCTGGGGAAGCTCTCCCCGCACACCGGGCACGGCCGGGGCTCGGCGGGTTCCGCCGCGGGTTCGGGCGCCGGGCCGGGCGCGGTGGGGTGGCCCAGCAGGTGTTTCCTTAGGTAGGCCTGCCGCCGGAACCGGCGGGCGCAGCGCGGGCACTCGAACAGCCCCTCCTCGGAGCCCGCCTCCGAAGCGCCGCCGGGGCTCGGCGTGTCCCGCTCCGCCGCCGTCGCCGCCGCCTCCTTGGGGGGCTCCGCCGCCTCGGGGCCGCTCTTGGCGGGGGGCCGCGGTTTGTGCCAGCGGCGGTGCGAGGCGAGGTTGGCGGGGCAGGAGAACACCTTGTCGCACTCGGGGCAGCGGTACTCCACGCGGACGATGCGCGAGCAGCGGTGCTGCGCCAGCGCGAAGGGATCGCCGTACTCCTCCTTGCAGAGCTGGCAGATGAACTCGCCCAGCGGCCGCGCGCAGCCCCCGCGCCGCGCCGGCGCCTCCACCGGGCCCTCCTTGATGCGCAGCCCCAGCACCGGGGACGTGGTCACCTCGTCCTCGAAGGTCAGCTTGCGGATCGCCTTCGCCTTCTTGCCGGCCGCGGCCTTCTGCCGGCCGGGCTCGGCGGGACGCTTGGCGGCCGGAGCGCCGCCGCCGCCGCCGCCGCTGGGGTTGGGGGGCGGCCGGGCGGCCCAGAGCTTGAGCTCGGCGGGGCCGAGCAGCAGCGGGTCCATGCTGCTGGGCACGGCGGGCGCAGGGAACGACTCGGCCGAGACGGGCGAACCCAGGCTGAAACCGCGCTCCAGCAGCGCGTCGCGGCTGACGGGCCGCGTGGGGCTGCGCAGCGCTTGCACGGGGCCATCGGGCGTCCCGAAGGGCACGGGAGGAGGAGGCGGCGGCGGCGGGGCAGGAGGGGGAGGCGGCGGCGGAGCGGTGGGCGGAGGGGCGCGCACCCGGTAGGACACGGGCGTGGGCCGCCGGCTGCGCTTCACCAGGAAACCGCGGGGCATCTTCGGGCGGGCGGTCCGCGCCCGGCGGCGGCGAGCGGCGCTCCCTCCTCCTCCTCCCCGCCCCCGCCGCCGCCTTTAAGAGGGCCGGGGCCATTGTTCGGCCCGGCGGCGGCGGGCGCGGCCAATCAGCGGCGGCGGCGGGCGGGGCGGCGGC